CACTATTCATCACCATATCAACCCAAGAATCCCCATGTCCCTGTCGTTGGCCATGAAAATCCAATCGTCTTCATCTCCTGTGTCCCATGGATCCTGCCTGATATTATCCTTACATCTACGTATCACCATCGCAAACAGTTTCTGCATGTCAGCTTTGAAGTCTGCAGCAGCACTGAATGGGTTCATTCACAACCCAAGTGTAAATTTGCTTTGCCGTTCTGAAAGCTTTGTTCGTTATTGTACTGCTTAGTGGTGATGAAGGCATTTTGACTGTAGTCGTGTGTGTCTCTGGTGTAAGAACTGAGGACGCTTCTAGATTTTACTTGCATTCTGGTTTCTAAAACTTGGAGTGTGCAGTTGAGTATAAGAATTAAAAGTGTGTTACATATTTATATACTGGTGACATTTCAGGTTCTCATGGCAGCAGGTAAGGAAGTTAGTGTCCTCTGGATGTTGCACCATGTAGTCTGTTGGAAGTTTGACAACATTTCAGACGCACATTCGGCCTTCTTTGCTCTGATGATGAAGGCAGCAAGCACCTCTGAAACGTCTGTGGACTTCCGCGATGCTACTTGGCACAGTGCCCCAGAAGACAGTTATCTTCCTAGTGTATATTGTTCTCTTAGTTAGTTCAGAGGAATTGTTAGATTTTTAACTGACATCTTTTCCCTACTACTTACTTTCAGACAGACGATCGGTTTATTCGGCCGCGCTATGGAAAGAGATGGCAGATGAAGTTTGAGATGAAAACAGTAAGTGTTTTTCATTAAGTTGTCATTTTTATGACTTTATAAAAGTAGTGGATAGATGAAGTGAGTATGCTGTGCTGAGGGTGAGATCAATTTATGTTCATGACAGTACTTTATCAGATATGAAAATGAACCTTTATCCACAAAAATTCTTTTCTTCTTAATTGACTACCATTGCACTGTACAAAAATGTTATCAGATTATCAAATTGAGGACATAAGCAGGGCTGTATGTCCCTCGGATTAATTTACTTTTTCTTCTGTTTGGACATGGAGTGAGTGCATCATACCGTCATTTAAAACTGCTGTTTGTGATGTACTTCTATAGCTCACTTCCCATCAGGTCTTTTGCATGAACTTGTCATATCCCCATTGTCTATAAGCTTTATGAATTTCTCGTAAGGTAAGCAAGTTGTAGAAATGCCAATGAAATTTGTGTCTGTTTTTAAATATATGAGTCTGGCCAGAATGGATTTACTACGAAAGAGGCTTGTGAAAATGGTGACGGAGGGAGTGGGAGATTGGCATACACATGTTTGCTGATAAACGAACTTCTTGGCGCCAACATTCAAGATCTTAGAGACCAATGTGATGAGAGAAGAGCGCTCATTCCAGGATCAAATATCTTTTCCTTGTCACCACTTAGTGCACAAAGCCAAAAGTTGCTTAGTGCACCGAGAAGGTCAAGGAGGAAAATATCACCAATACCCTACAAGGTTAGTCATATTTTGTATTAGTTTTAATCTTCAAAAATCCACAACTGAAGTGTCTGTGCCATTCCACATACCGTCTCAGTGTCTGATTCTCCCCAGGTCTCTGATGAAATCTGATGTGGCTGTTGTGACTTCGTGATCAGCTGTTCTGCCAACACAAGTCACGAGACAGTGATAGAGTGTTTATTATGAAATAGTTATAATGTTCTTCTTCTTTATATTAAGCATTGAGAGTTTTGTGTGCTGTACTTCATTATTTGTCCAGATTTATTGAATTTTATGTTTTTTTCTGTTGAAGACGTTGGATGCCTCTTATCTCCAAGATGACTTGTCCCTCAATCTTGTTGACTGGTCTTCAGAGAATGTGTTAAGCGTGGGATTAGGAACTTGCGTATATATTTTTTGTGCAAGCACAAATCAGGTTGGAATGCTGTGTAATTTATCTGGAGATGGCACCTCTGTAACTTCAGTTGCATGGAATGAACACGTAAGTATTGGCCAGACTATTTTTACTCAGGTCGTTGAAAAGTATTTCTGTTAAATTTGAATTTGGTTGTAAGATTTGAGGTTTTCACAGCGGTGATTACGAAGTTTTCTGTTTCTGGGTTGTTGCACTGTGTAGTATTCATCGCCCTGATGACGGAGGAAGCACGCCCTCAGAAACATTGGTAAACATACTACACGGCGCAACAACCCAGAAGACAGAAATCTTGAATTTGGTTATTGCTGTGTTTGTTGTTAATCTTAAAGTATGTGTTGTGTCAAATCAGTGTCAACTGCTAGCCCCATTTCTGTGGGTGCTTTCTGCTTTTCATTTTACGTTTTGTGTCCATGACAAAGGAAACACCTTGTTATTTCTGAAGTTCACTGTTGTGTGCATTAAGAGAAATCTGAAGAATTTGTATTTCTTGTTACAAACCTTCTGGAGGAAGGTGGAGAAGAATTGTGTCCTCCGCCTGCCAAGTGAGGGAGACCAAGCCCAAAATTTTAGTAGTTTGTCTGTTAGAGAGTTTTGTCCTGAGGTAGCCATATTTATTTCAGGATACATGCATTTGTCTGTATAACTTTGGCTTGTGGGTGAGAGCCATGTCAGTTGTTTAGTGTTAACAGTAATTTTTGCAAACTTTGCAGTAGCACACATTCAAGGTTGGTATGAGATGGGGCCAGGGCGTTATTTATATAGGCTACTCCATCCGTGAAGACTTGCAAAGAAAAATGTATTTGTCTGTATTCTGATGTACCGTGATGTCATAATTTTATATAAATGAAATATTATTGCCATATTCTTCAGTGGCTGTAGATAGTAGGTAAGAATTTGCATATTCTGACCAGGAAATGTTACCGAACAGATAACACATCAAATCACCTCTGACATAATTTAGGACTGACTCGTATTGTTGGACACATTTATGACCTGGTGTTTTGTATTTGCAGGAAAATTTCTTGGTAATTGGCACATATCATGGCTACGTGCAAGTCTGGGACGTTGCCGTAAATTCCCAAGTTAATGAGCTGCTGACCCATCCAGACAGAGTTGGATTGCTTGCTTGGAATGGTGGTGATGTGTCGTCAGGAAGTCGGGATGGACTTATCTTACAGTGTGATGTAAGAACTCCCTAGTCTTGTGCCAGAGGGAAGGTTGGTTGGCCATCGACAAGAGATAAGTAGGAAATCATTTAAGTGTTATTACTGCAAAATAGTGTCATTGTGTTTTTGCATTGTGACAGCATGTGGACTGACATATATACCAGTGTTTTGGAGATAGATGAAGTCTCCATTTTCAGCTCTGAAGATAAAGACATTTCATCTCCGCATCGCATCACGACCCAGAAGAACAGCATCAACATCTTCATCACGGTCAGAACCTCACATCAAATATTGTTTTTATAGTTAGAGCTGAAAAATATGTTTCAAAATTATTGTCATCAATTTCAATTACTATAAATATCAATTGTTTAAAGGTTTGCGGCTTGAAGTGGTCTCCAGACAAGCGGAGCCTGGCATCCGGTGGCAACGACAATCGCCTGAATATTTGGGATCTGCATTCAGACTCACCTGTGCAGACGTACACTGAGCATTTGGCAGCAGTGAAAGGTAGGAATCACCGTGTTTATCATCCACATTTGTGACGGATTAAAATAAGATTCTATGAAGTGAGTAAATATTGTTATTATATTGTCATGTGTTTGTGCAGTCTTTGCTGCAAGAAAAATCATGCACTTAAAACCATACGTGCTGGAAGAATGAGTTCCAATCATTGCCCATAAATCACATTTATTTATAACACCATTTTTGTGGATATATTGCAAATGCAGCATTTACAATTTGCAAAGTAAATTTCTTCACATTTCTCATCTTTGCCTTCTCTGTTCTCTTTGTTTATGTTAATATTTCATGTAGTATCTTGTACCATACTGATCATGTGCACACAATGTAGTAATATACTCAAATAAATTTTATTTTCCAGCTATTTCCTGGTCCCCACAACATCGTGGACTCTTGGCTAGTGGTGGAGGCGCAGCTGATTGGTGTATTCGTTTCTGGAACACACTCACAGGACAACCAAAGCAGTGGGTGGACACTGGATCTGAAGTCTGTAATCTCGTCTGGTCTAAACATTCCTCTGAACTGGTAAGTTCCTTGCATGTCGATGTGATCTGCAATTTGTGCTTGGAACGATATCGTTGATAGAAGTAAGAATTGTATTATTATTTTTTTCTTTGTGGATAGTGAAGTGTTTGTAAAATAGAAGATTAAATTGAAATATATATTGTGAACACCTTAACATACACAAACATAATTTTGAAATTCCATTTGCTTCAGACATAATTTATAAAATCTGTACATTTGCACTTTGATAAAGGATGCACATAATGTAACCATAAAATTATAACTGAAGCCGTCTCCACTTGGGACGTTTCCTTACCTTCGCCCTGTGTTGGCAGTGTAAAAGGGCCAGCTTCACATCGAGTATGTTTTCATTAGGTTAATACTTGTCGTTTACAGAGGAATTAACAGGGTGTTCATTCATCCACATCTCTCAGATTTTGCTTATGAACTGATGTCTTCACATTTTCCAGAAATAAATTCTTGGGAAATGAAGTATACCATACCTCCCACTGTGGTTCAGAGCACTCAGTATACTTTAGGGACCCTCTTTGTAATCACCGTTTTGGTTGTATGGAATCTGCCCTTTGGTTGCCTCAGACTTGCCCAGAGTTAGCGGAGGCCTGAAAAGATCATCCATGGAGACATTGTGAATGAGAAACATTTAAATGATGAAGAGCTGAATTTTCCTTTTCCTAGAATACCTTTGGTGCGCACGATGTACCAATACGTGTTTTCTAGGCATGTGTGAGTCCGTGCAGAGGACCCGATAAGTTTTCTTTGTACTTCCATACACTAACAACTCTAGACGTTTGGCACGTAAAGTACTCTGTTTGAGGCTACTCCATAATTGTACTCTGCAATCTGTAATACCAACATGACATGTTACAAGTTGTGAGGTAGCTGAATTACAATCTACAGTGGTTCCAATATCCGTTATCCTGTGCATTCACTGATGATGTCATCACCTGTTACGCTGTCATTGGGTGTGTCATTGTTTGCATCATTACCTGTTTAATGTGAATGGCTGACAAATTTTCATGGAATTTGGTATGGATGTTATTCCAGATTGTTACTTTTAATTCCATATCTTGCCATGTCTCCAGATGGAGAAGATATTGTAACTGGCGCTGGGGATGAGACTCTGCGGTTCTGGAAAGTATTCAGTAAAGATCGTTCACAGAAGGTAACTTGTATCTTGTAATGTTAACATTTTTTAAGGTTACGTTTGTAGACATTTATAAAAATGTTTGATGTGATTTTCATCCCTTGTTTCAGGAGAAGAAACCATGAGTCCTAGATCTCTTCACCAGCATCAGATGAAGAATCTCCAGATGTTGCATAATGCATTGATCTTTTGTTCTTATTGTGTTTTATTATGTTGTTCTAATTAATTGTTTTTTGTGATAATATATTGGTTGATGTTATTAATACAATAAAGAGGAACGCAGAAGTTTTACTAGAGGCTAGTAGGCAGGTGGGTCTACAAGTAAATTCAGAAAAAACTACGTACATGTTAGTATCTCGTCGTCAGAAGACAGGCGGGCAAAATTATCTTAGGGTGGCTAATAAGTCCTTTGAAAGGGTTACAAAGTTCAAATATAATAATCTTGCCTGTTGTTTTGTATGGGTGCGAAACATGGTCTCTCACTCAGAGGGAGGAACACAGATTGCAGGTGTTTGAGAACAGGGTGTTGAGGATGATTTTTGTTCCTAGTAGAGAAGACGATGGGGTCTGGAGAAAACTACATAATGACGAGCTTAAAAATTTATATTCCTCCCCCAGTATTGTCAGGGTGATTAAGGGAGGAAGAATGAAGTGGGCGGAGCATGTGACAAGCATGGATGGGGCAAGAGGTATTGTTCGGGAAGCCTGAGGCTAAGAGACCGCTGGGGAGACCTAGACGTAGATGGGAGGATAATCTCAGGCGAGATCTATGGGAGATAGGAGTTGAAGGAGACTGGATTTTGTTGGCCCAGGACAGGGTCCAGTGGAGGGCTTTGGTTAATTCGGTGATGAACCTTCGGGTTCCGTAAGCCAT